CTGGCTCACCCCAATGCCACAGCTCACCTGGCACTGTTCTCCGCCCGGGCAGCTCCTGGTCGTTGTGACAGGGCTGCTTTTTCCTGGGCTTCTTCCTCGGGTTGGCGGCCAGTCTGTGTGCTTGGCGCAGCTGGTGCTTCCTGGAGCATGGCTGAACCTTAGATGGGTTTGGGTGAGGTAGCACTTCACCAGCTCAGGTTTTTCCCTGAGGACACCACCAAGCAATGTGCCTGCCAGCAAGCCCGTCGGGCCCAGGCAGGGCTCCTGTGTCCAGCCCGTCCCCATGTTCTCCAACTCAGTGCCTGCGTGTCAGCTTTTGCGCCAGCTAGCATGGGTGTGTTGGGTTAAATGAAGAGTAGGGCCGCTGGGAGGGCAGGGCCAGCAGGCTCACTGGCCGCTGCGGAGGGAGATTTGTTCTTGGAGTCCTTTGCAAAGGTTCAGTTTGGAAAGAACTCCATGCCCGAACGGAAGAATGAGCTAGTTCTGGGGTGTGTGCACTGATGTCACAGCTTTGGGCTTCTGCTTGCTGCTTGCCGCGTCGCGGGCAGCTGTGTGGTGCCCGTAGTCACAAGTAGGTAGTGCACAGGGCTTCTCACACACACACACCATCAGATGCTCACATTCTCTCTCACACACACACACTCCAGCCTCCTCACATCCTCACACACCACACACACACACACACACTCCAGCCTCCTCACATCCTCACACACACACACTCCAGCCTCCTCACACTCACACACACACACACACACACACACACTCCAGCCTCCTCACACTCACACACACACACACACACTCACACACTCCAGCCTCCTCACATCCTCACACACACACACACTCCAGCCTCCTCACATCCACATACACTCACACACTCCAGCCTCCTCACACTCACACACACACACACACACACACACACTCCAGCCTCCTCACACTCACACACACACACACACACACACACACTCCAGCCTCCTCACACTCACACACACTCACACTCCAGCCTCCTCCCATCCACACACACACACACACTCCAGCTTCCTCCCATCCACACACACACACACACTCCAGCTTCCTCCCATCCACACACACACACACACTCCAGCTTCCTCCCATCCACACACACACACACACTCCAGCTTCCTCCCATCCACACACACTCACACACTCCAGCCTCCTCCCATCCACACACACACACACACTCCAGCCTCCTCACACTCACACACACACACACTCCAGCCTCCTCACACCCTCACACACACTCACACACTCCAGCCTCCACACACACACACACACACACACACTCACACTCCAGCCTCCTCACACTCACACACACACACACTCCAGCCTCCTCACCCTCACACACACACACACACACACACTCCAGCCTCCTCACATCCACACACATACACATTCCAGCCTCTCACACCCTCACACACACTCACACACTCCAGCCTACACACACACACACACACTCCAGCCTCCTCCCATCCACACACACACACACTCCAGCCTCCTCACACTCACACACACACACACTCCAGCCTCCTCACCCTCACACACACACACACACACACACTCCAGCCTCCTCACATCCACACACATACACATTCCAGCCTCTCACACCCTCACACACACACACACTCCAGCCTCCTCACATCCTCACACACACTCACACACTCCAGCCTCCACACACACACACACACACACACTCACACTCCAGCCTCCTTATACCCTCACACACGCACACACACACTGCCTCCTAATCGAGACCCACACTAGCTTTGGTTGATTTCACTGCCTCTGAAATGTCCTTTCCCTGTGGCCACTTGTCCCTTTGTCATGACGAGGAGGTACCCAGCCCTGCCTGGGGTACGCTCCTTGTGCCTCTGACCTTCGCAGTTGCTGGGGCCCCTGAGGCACGCCCCTTCCCACCTGTATTTCCTTATTGTAGTTACAGTTGACGGGATTCTTTCCGTGCAAGGTCTATTTTCTTTCTTTCTTTGAAAGGCAAAGTGTCAGTGAGAGTTGGAGAGACGGGGCAGATATTGCAGCTCTGGCTCACTCCCAGAAGGCTCTGTCAGCCCCGTCTACACCAGGTGGTACCGAGAGCCAGGGGCGCTGTCGGGATCTCCCTCTGGCTTGCGGGTTCAAGTACTTGGGCCTTTGTCTGTTGCCTTCCCAGGCATGCGAGCAGGGAACTGAGTGGAAGTGGAGCAGCCGGATTCTTAGCGCAGACAGCCAGGCTTGCTGCGTCAGCCTGGCTGCCCTCCGTGTCCGTCAGGCTGCCCTGATGGGACAACAGGCTCGTTTGGCTCTTCCCTTCTTTTGGTGGGCACACTTTGCTACCAGCAGCTGTGCCGGAGGTATCCACAGCACTTGCTCATCCTGTCCTGGGCGACCTCAACATGGGTGAGCCATGAAGAGAGCAGTGCATGCTGGGCCGGCTCTAAGGGCTGGAGGGAAGCTGCAGTCCCAATGAGCTGAGCGGTGACCGAGGAGCCACCATGCTCCAGGCTTCCCACAGCGGTCCAGTGAGGTGTGGCGTCTGCCTCTTGTGTGAGGCGGATGTGGGATTTGCCTGGGAGCAGCATGCAGAGGGGCACAGGCCGAAACCTTGTCCTGCAGCCACTGTCAGCCGTGTCACCGTTGGACCTCGGCAGGACCCGTGTGTTGGGGAATGTGCTGCCCATCCCACTCGGTCCCTCCGAGCAGCAGGCGCTCATGGGTCAGATCCCTTGCAGACTGTATTTCTGTGCAGAGTCCGAGGCTGCCAGTCCTGGCCACGGTGCCCGCCAGGCCGTTCCTCTGTGGGCAGCTGGGGAAATCTGGCCTTTGCCCTGACTCCCACCTCAGAGCCCTGGCATCCTTGGAGTTCCCTGTGCTTGGTGCCTCTTCCTGTTCCTGGGGACCCTGGCTTCCCTGGCTCAGTCTATGCCACAGCGAGGCCAGGAGCCATCTTAGGAAGAGGCCGCTGAGTGCCACAGGGCAGGTTGGTCCCCAGGAAGACTGGTGCCCCAGGAGTAGGGCTGAGGCCGGCAGGACTCTGGGGATCTTTAGGGTCCCTGCAGGCCCTAGGAGCAGGCTCGGCATGACCGGCAGGAGCAGGCACACCTGGGCAAGGGCCACTTTGGCCTTGCCTCGTGACCTGCGTGTCCTGGAGTGAGCCCCCGAAGCAGCCCCTTCTGAGGTTTGGGCGTGGGCTCTGCATTTGCTGTGTGTTTCCCATGTGCCCGTGAGCCAGTGGAGTCTGTGGCTTGGGAGCTAACACAGCACCAACCAGCTGACAACCTGCTGTGCTCTAGGAGTTATGGGAATTCTGCAAGTCGTCAGGGAACACACCTTGTGAGGAACTGTGAATGGATCTTTTACCCCAAAATATATCTTCATTTCATTTTTCATGAGCCCTTCCTGTGACAGTACGGGACGTGCAGAGCGCCCGTGGTGTATGAAGTGCAGTGTTGGGCGTGCTGCCACGAAGGCCACTTGAGGAGGCCACACAGGTTCTGCGTCTGTCCAATGCCTGGTGGCCTCTTGGGTGGCCGGCCGGTCAGGGGTGTATGTCCCACTGCACTGCTCAGAACGGCACACACTTAAACCTGTGAGCTGCTCCTTTCTGGAAATTTCCTCCTGATACCTTAGGGCCGTGGTTGACCGCCGATAAAGTGAAACCACAGAGTGAAGCACAGGTGACGGGCTTGTGGGAAGGCTTTTCTGCGCCCACTAGCGCCGCAGTGCCCGTGGAGGGAGTGAGGAGTGCCCGCTCCGCCTTCTGTCACGGATGGGCGCCCAGGGCTGCGCTCAGGTGTGGCGGGGCCTCTGTCCTCTGCTGAGGTGCAGAGTGCTCACTGCTCACTCTTGAGAGACCCGGGGAGGGCACGGCTGGGGCACTCCCTGACATGTGCTCCTCCTTCCCAGGCAGCTCCAGAGGCTCTGCTGCAGCGCGGGCTTCCCGGCCCACTAACGGGCTCTGCACTGGGGTCTGGCCTCTGAGCTTGGATTCTGAACTCCAAGGACACATGCAGGACGATGGCTAGGTCCTGCCATTCGGGTCAAACAGGAAGTCTGCTGACCTGCTGTGCTGCCTGGAAACCAAGCCCAGCACCATGGCCGTCTGGCACACTGCACCCGCCTGTGCAGACAGCACGATGGAGCATTCTGCTCCCGTCTGCTGATACCTGCACATGTTGCGTTCTGTCCACTGCCCCGCTGCCTGGGAGAAAACGAGACCTAATCCAGCCCATCCTGGTTTGCCTGTTTGGGAAAGCCACCTGCCTACCCGAAGAAGGGCTCAGAAGCAGAAAGAAGGCCGGGGCACAGCGTTCCCAGATGCCTGGTCCCAGAGCAGGGATGAGCCGGGACCGGTGGGAGCTCCGAAGCTGAGTTCCTTCACCCCAGTCCCACCGAGTTCCCATCCCCCCCGGCTTGCGCGGCCCCGGAAGGCACAGTGTATATGCGACACGGCAGTACAGGGGGAGAGCTGGGGCAGCTGGGCCTGGGCCCTGGCACTGTGGCCGCAGCAGGCCAAGCTGAGTTCTCAGGATGCGCGTGGGTTCACTTGCAGCAGGTGGTCAGCAGTCAGTGGGTGAAGGAGGCATCTCTGTGAGCCGTGTGATGTGCTTTTCCTATTTTCTGTATACACTGGAAAGGAAGAGGGCGGTGGACAGAGCCAGGTCAACAGCATTCGCAGCCGGGCCCTGGCGGCTCTTTGCTCAAAGCGTGTTTGTCAGTCCTGGCACCCGTAACCACAGGTCTGCTGCTGTTTTGCCGGCTCTGGGGTGGCTCTGGCCAGCACAGTGATGGAGACTGGCTCTGCATGGCCCTCAGGCCAGGTGCTGGCCTTGCTGCACCTCCCCTGGAGATGGCTTTGGTCCTTCCATAGGGCCTTCCACTTCCTGTGTGGGATCCCAGGAGGGACACCTGTGGCGCCTTGTCTCGGAGCAGCCCCTGCACTGCCCACACCTCGCCCGGCTCAGCTGCGGCCTTCTCTGTTTTCTGTGCAGATGGACTCTCGGGCCGTGACCAACCGGTGGAGCTGCTGAACCCGCCACGCGTCAACCACATGCCTGGCACCGGTGAGTGAGCATGACGGGCTGGCCAGCCGCGGGTGCAAGGCCAGGCTCTCCAGTGGGGCGGGGACTACACTGTGGTGCCTGGCAAGGTGAGGAAATGCTGGGCCGAGGCTGTAGGCCTGCAGGGAGCTCTGGCCCAGAGGGGCGCACCAAGCCAGGAGCCGAGCGAGCCTCCAGCTGGGAGCAGGCGTGGCCCCTTCTGCCCGGGGCTGCAGCGCATGCAGTCCTGGCACACTGCAGCCTTGGTGCTGTCACAAGCCTCCTGTCTCTGCTCTTTCTGCTTGATGCCCTGAGCTCAGAATTTGTTTCTTCTGCCTTCTGTCCAGCCCCTCCCCCCTGCAGGGCTTGTATACCAGGCCTCCTCCAGGCCTGCAGCTGGACAGCCAGCCTCCAAGGTGTGCCCACCCCCCAGGCAGCCAGCTTCAAGGCGTGCTCACCCACCAGGCAGCCATCTTCCAAGGCGTGCCCACCCCCCAGGCAACCATCTTCCAAGGCTTGCCCACCCCCCAGGCAGCCATCTTCCAAGGCTTGCCCACACCCAACCCAGCAGACCTGGGTCTTTGTGACCTTTGCCCCATAGCATCCAGTTCTAGAGCATCTACTCGAGACCCCAGGGCCCATCTTGGCCTCCCTTCCCATCACTGTTTGGAGGGTTTCCCTTGCCGGGGTAGGGGTGGAATTCCCTAGGCTGCTAAGCGCAGCCCCCAGAGGAGCCACGTGGAGCCCCTGGGGCTGTGTGCGTCCTTTGTCCCCCTGCTGGGGGAGCACGGAATGCCTCTCAGAGACTCCTCCAGAGGACACATCAAGACTGGCACTTCCTCTTGTGTCCACGTGGCCTGTGCCAATCCCCTGTGTAATGGGGCATCCGGGAGCAGGCTTTGGTTCTCCTCCAAGCGTGGTCCTGTCGGGGGTTAGTGCCCGACACGAACTGCTGAGGTGCCATGCCCAGGGGACCACACTTCCGGCCACTTGTGAGGACAGCGCAGACGTCTGTGCTAACCCCAGCCCAGGCAGGTGACAGTGTAGCCCCATGTTTTCTCCTGCTTCGGGTGGGGATGGTGCTGCCCTCTGCAGAGGTCAGATCTGCGTGGGCACTGTGCAGTAGGAGAGAGCTCTGCGTGGGCCTCGGGATCCTGGCCATAAAGCAGGCTGCCTGGCCTCATCCTCCTGTGAGTTCCCTCGCCAGTGCAGATGGGGGCCCAACAGCGCAGCGTGCACCCCCACATGGTGATGGGGTGTCCATCAGGGGAACATACACCCCCTGATGGTGATGGGGTGTCCGACAGGGGAGCATGCACCCCCTGATGGTGATGGGGTGTCCGACAGGGAAAGGCGTACCCCTGAATGGTGATGGGGTGTCTGACAGGGGAAAGTGTACCCCTGCATGGTGGTGGGGTCTCAGGGGAACATGTACCCCCGCATGGTGACGGGGTGTGTGGAGTGGAAACATGCTCCTTGCATCTAACAGGAAGATGCATGTCCCCCGTAGGTGATGAGGCTTCTCAGTAGAATTGGAGCCCCTCATGTAGTAGTGATGAGAGACCGCCAGGGGAATGACACCCCCAAATGGTGATGGGCCCTCTGGAGAGCTGCACCCCCATTCACACAGCGCTGACCTCCCAGAAAGGGTCCTCCCTGGCAGCATGGTCAGCACTGTCCTGGTGGTGCCTGCACTTGCTTAGGCTCAGGCCTAAGGAATTGGCTCCGTCCATGTCCCTGCGCCCTCTCCGACGCTCCGTGGCTGCAGAAGTCGACCACGGAGGAACAAGGAAAGTGCTCCTGGCTTTGGATCTGTCCCATTCCCCTCTTCACTTCCACTGTGTAGTGCGACTTGCACTCCTGCCCAATTTGTTTTCCTGTTTTGAAGAAATCTATTTATAAACCACTTCTCAGAAAGGCAAAACACTTGCCTGCCCCTGTGACTCCATCACAGCACATGCGTCTGGAATGTTCTGTGCACACAACACCAGATTGCAGCTCAGGCTGGGGTGCCTTCAGATGTCCCCTTGGTGCACAGGCAGGCCGGGACCAGGCCCAGCATGGGGCAGGTGGCTCCTTCCTGGCCCTGTGTTTCCCTGGGGAGTCAGAAGATGATTCAAGGAACCTGGGGACTGGTACTACGGAACTGCGGGAAGAGACCCAGCCTGAGTGCCAGCATGCCGCACGGCTGCGGGAAGAGACCCAGCCTGAGTGCCAGCATGCCGCACGGCTGCGGGAAGAGACCCAGCCTGAGTGCCAGCATGCCGCACGGCTGCGGGTAGAGACCCAGCCTGAGTGCCAGCTTGCCGCACGGCTGCGGGTAGAGACCCAGCCTGAGTGCCAGCATGCCGCACGGCTGCGGGTAGAGACCCAGCCTGAGTGCCAGCATGCCGCACGGCTGCGGGTAGAGACCCAGCCTGAGTGCCAGCATGCCGCACGGCTGCGGGTAGAGACCCAGCCTTGAGTGCCAGCTTGTCACACGGGCTCCTGTTCAAGTCTGGCTACTCTACTTCTGACCCAGCTCCCTGCTTGTGCCCTGGGAGAGCAGGAGAAGATGACCCAAAGCCTTGGGCCCCTGCACCTCCAGGAGACCCAGAAGAGGCTGCTGGCTCCTGGCTTTAGCTGGACCTACACCAGCTGTTACTTGAGCAGTGAAAGTGGATGCGAGATATATCTCCTTTTCAATCTCTCTCTCTCTGCTTCGCTATACCTTTCAAACAGACTTCTTTTTTCCACCCTTAAATAAACAGTAAAAGAGACATGGCCCTAGGAAGATGTCCTGTGAGCCCACTCCCAGCTGGGGCCTGTGCTGGGTTCAGTGGAATGTAGACATGAGCACTGTAACACTCCGGGTGGTGGAGTCATACATGCGTGTGACACGCAGCAACACGGGTGGGGGTGGAGCTTTCAGAACAATGCAGACGGTGCATCACCAGCCAGAGGGAGACAGCACAGCGGGACATGACACCACAGAGGGCTCCACGTGAAGGGGCTCACTGTGCACTGTGGGAGCACCTCAGGCACTCACTGTGCACATGAAGGAGCACCTCAGGCACTCACTGTGCACTGTGGGAGCACCTCAGGCACTCACTGTGCACTGTGGGAGCACCTCAGGCACTCACTGTTCACATGAAGGAGCACCTCAGGCACTCACTGTGCACTGTGGGAGCACCTCAGGCACTCACTGTGCACATGAAGGAGCACCTCAGGCACTCACTGTGCACATGAAGGAGCACCTCAGGCACTCACTGTGCACTGTGGGAGCACCTCAGGCACTCACTGTGCACTGTGGGAGCACCTCAAGCACTCACTGTGCACTGTGGTAGCTTACTTGAAGGCCTTTGTCCCAGGATGTGTCCGTGTTTCGCCCCTGGATCCTGTCCCTGCTTCTTCCCTGCTGCCCAGCCCCACATTTTTTGCCCTTGTGGTTTCTGTTCAGAGCTGCCCTGCATGCCCCTTCTGTGGTGTTAGGGACCTAGGACTGCCATGCCACCTCCCCAGGGCAGCCATCTGGAGTGTCGACGGGGTAGTGGCAAGGACACTGTCGTGCTGAGCTCCCTGGAGCCTGCCTGCGGGACTGTCGCCTCCCAGCAGCCCCAGTCATGGGGAAGGTTGTAGGGTCAGCTCTTTGCCGCCCTGGGCCATTGCTGCTCCGTGGCGTGCACTGAGAGCCTGCGTGTGGGTGAGGGGCGAGCCTTTCCATCTGCTGACTGGGAAGATCGTGGCACCTGCTGAACACCTTGCCTGCTTAGGTTTTGCTTTGTCTTTTGCTTGCTTGCTTATTTTTAATTTTAGAGAGCAGTAAAATATAGAATATAAAACCCCCCAATAAGATCATTTGTGTGCACATTTGGGAACGAAGCTTCCATTGCTGATGTGCTGAGAGCCTAAAGGGAGAGTCCTCCTCCCTCCCGCAGGTGGCTTGGCGGGCGCAGCCCATGCCTGTCTGTGAGCAGGGCTTCTCCCACGAGGCCTTGTGTACCGTGTAGTTAGGAGCTGCTCAGGGGACCCTGAGGGCCCTTCTGGATTGGGGCCAGCTGCCATCTCCTGGCTGGGTGAGCTGCTGAGTGGTCCTTGGTTCCATCGATGAATATCTATGAGCCTCTGGCTTCCCAGCAGCTGCTATGTCTCTACATGCCTACCAGTGCCCACACAGACCCCACCCCTCTGCCAATGCGGGGCAGCCTGGCACCCCTGCTAGGAGACCATCCCTCTGGTATGCCCTCTCAGGGGCACAACCACAGGAAGTGGTGCTCCCACCAAGGTCCCCGAGCACTGCTAGGTGGAGGCTGCCAGCTTGAGCCTTGCTGTGTTGCACTGCCTGGCTGCAGCTGGCAGGCCTGGGCACTAGGGCTCCTGCCTGGACAGGAGCTTGGGGGTTCCCAGCTGCCTGGCCCTGTGTTGCACTGCCTGACTGCAGCTGGCAGGCCTGGGCACTGGGGCTCCTGCCTGGACAGGAGCTTGGGGGTTCCCAGCTGCCTGGCCCTGTGTTGCACTGCCTGACTGCAGCTGGCAGGCCTGGGCACTGGGGCTCCTGCCTGGACAGGAGCTTGGGGGTTCCCAGCTGCCTGGCCCTGGCAGATGCATGCATCAGGAGAGTGTGCACAAGGGCAAGTTTAAGGTGGGGCGGCAGCTCCCCAGCAGGGTTCCCCAGCTCTGCTACCATGCTTGCTGCCGCTTCCGGCAGGCCTCTTTCCCTCTGCCTTTGCGGTGATCTCCGTGGAGTTCTTGGCTGACTCCAAAGCAGGGGAAGCTGGGAGGTCACACGGCAGAATGCTGACGAGGCCCCTGTGGAGGGGCCAGTGCCTGCCCTGTCAGTGCCGTCCACACAGCTGGGTGGCACTGGGGACTGCCCGGGAGCTTGCTTTCCCTCTAGGAGCCTCAGTGGGAGCCCCGGTCTCTCACAGTACAGTGTGGTGTTTGTTCATGGTGCTGGCCATCTCCTCTGTCGGGGATTTGGGGAATTGCTGCTGCAGTGGAAAGCCCAGCAGAAAGCCCACTGTGTACACATCTTCAGGGGAGCG